GTTTTAATGTTTCAAAAGGATTTTATTTTATGTTATTGAATTTTTCCAAGTTTTGTATCACATTTCAATTAACGGATGTCTTGGATATCTGTATTTGTAATACTGTTATTTCTTAGAGATAAATATTATTTTAATGGTGTAATGATATTTCAGCAGTTTGTTTAGTATTTTCATAAGACATCATGTTCATGTTTCGCAATGTATAACTGCTTTAAACTCATATGCAAAGTTTTTTTTCTTTTAAATGGCTAAGGTGTATCTTTGAATATTTTAATACTAGTTTTTAAAATATGCTTAGGAAAACGCATCTGTTAGCGTCTGTCTCTAATTGATATTTGTTGCAACTTCAGGTCTAAGCGGCAAAAGATATAGAAATTTATCGCACTTGTCCCTTTAATGATTACTGTAGTAATATTATTAATAGTTAGCATTAAATACCGGTCATTTTCATTTATAAAAGATATTTCGTTGACATATTCCTGATATTTTGTTTCGTTTTAGTTTAAATTTAGTCTTCCTGATGTTTTAATTACCGTTTTCAAATATATACGGAGAATAGCTGTTCTAAATTCTAAGCGTATCTTTTGAAAGTGAGTTTCAGAATCTAGGATATGCTGACTTTACTCAATTCTGAAAGTCGATTCCTCTTCATCGGATATTTGATGGAATGTCGTTGCTACACATAACACGAACTTTGACTTCACCAGCATACAGAAGAAGGTTGTCGGGAGCGCATACAGATTTCTCTTAGAAATTTTGCATTCAGCTTTGTCGAAGAAAATATAAAACATTACCTTTGTTTTTATAAGAGAAATTTTCTTTATCTATCTGATAAATGCCTTAGACTTTCGTAATGCGTAAAGGGCCTTTTTATAAACACTTAAATAAAATATGAAGGCAAATGTGAACACTTTTAAAACATCATCAAGCTTACGGTTTCAGGGGGACAATAAAAAAATTAAAAATCATTATTTTTTTTATAAGCTGTCTTGCTGGATATGCACTTCCAGCGTTTGGTGAATTTTCCGATAATGCTTTAAAAGTTCTTTAATTTAGAAGTAATTAGTAATAATTAACAGCTTTTCTTCAACTGAGGGTATATCTGTCTGAAACAGAGAAAGATCATGGTAAGGCCGTCAGCCTCAAATTTGAGAAAGGTCAGTGGAGTTTCTTCCCCGAATACCTTGAATTCGAAATTAGTCGTTGGAATATGTTAGCTTTTGCAGCTTTTTAAAATTTTAAAATTTTAAATGATAAGATGAATATGCATTCAGAAATTAATAAGCTGAGCAAACAAGTAAAAACTTGGCTCAAGTACGTGAAATGTTGCTTAACATAGATCATTATACGTACTTTTAAATGTTGCATTACAAGCAAAATTATGATTTCTGCATTTATCGCCTTCCACTCCGAAGTTTATTTTAATTAAATCGTGCCATAAATATTGGCGGCCTGTGAAAAATACAATTATATAGCTACTATTTCACACTATTGCTCTTGCATTACTGTACTACAACCTACTGCCTATCCTGCTTGTTGAAACTATGCAGAATCAGCGAGCTACAACCGCGAGCAAATAATATAGGGTGGTGTTACCTTAATGATTTCTACTAGTCAACGCTTATCTATGCTTAGTGCAAATTATTGACATCTGTTTGACGTAACAGATGAGCAATAATTTCAATAAATATATTATATAATACTAGGAAAAGTAGTAAAGCCGTTTTTTATTCGATTATAATATAAAATGTATGGTAAGTATATTGTATAGTACTGAAGACGGCGTCTGACTCTATTATACTAATTTGAAATTTCAATGTTTTTTTACTTGCCCATTAATTGTTCTACTGTTCAGCTTCGACAGTTATGTATTTTTAAATATATTCACATATAATAACATATATCGCAACTCAATTGCTTTAGTGTATTTAATGATTCGCTATAAATGAATATAGTTTATTTTTATTAGCTCTTCCTGGGTAATGTTTTTTGATTAGTTTGATAAGGGTTATTTATAAGCGAAATAGTTTTAAGAAACAGTTTCAAATAATCCAGAAACTCTACATAAGATCATAGTCAATGAGCTTTTGAAACTGCAGAAAACAACATGCACTTCTATAACTTACGTAGATAATTATACCATTTATTTTTGAAATGTATTTGTATTACGCTATATTAATTCATTAATAACAAATACAAATGTGCTGTTTTTATTAATAAGTTGTCGTTAATTATTTTAAATAACATATTACATATTATTATTACTAACATGAGATTTCTTCACAATAAGTAGACTTATTTGCAATGCCCTGGGCCCACCAGCGGCCGAGCGGTAAAGTCGCTGAACACTGGTAGTTCGGAACGAGGTTCGAATCCCGCGAACGGGCTGGCTGCATGGGTGTTTTCGTGGTTTTCCCCATGTGTAACGTGTATACGAGCCAGTTTCCCTTAGAAAGTCCTCCACGAAAGGCATCCCTCCCCTTTGGCAGATAGCCCTAGTGAGCTTTGCCGTAATTAAATACACCAACACCAACATTTGCAATGCCCTGCAGCAGGTATGTCAAATTCAGTACTTTACATAGACTAAACAGTCATGGTTTTACTGCAGTACGTGGTGCAAGGAGAAGGCATTTTTATACTTAATGGTGTATTTAAAACGTTATTAAGTGCTTAAAATCTTTCTTTAAATTTATTTCACTTCTTTTAAAATTTAAAGTAGAAGGAACGTAAGGAAGTCCTGGTAGTAGAAGGATACCTATTGTTTTTTTCTCGACACTTGAATCTGCTTTTTGCATCTAGCTCTCAGATGTCTGGAAACATGCTGTATTTTCGGAAGCCGGACGATAACTTTTTACTTGAATCTTGTTGGGGATTTGGTTCTTTTCATAAGTGAAAAAAGTTATTCACGGTCATACGTACTGTATATTGTGTAAATTACGTAGATGAAAATTTGCGGCTTTCTGCAAACCGTTTTTTCTGCATTTTTAAATATTGTGGACCCTCACTTCACTGAATTTTTGCTTTAGAGTCGCAGTGAGTTTCTGTTAATTCCATGTGTAAATGGGCTGGCACTTTCTCAAAGTTATTTGAGAAAAATTTTATGTAAAGATATCATTTCAAAAGTCCATTTTAGCATAGGAGTTTGTATATACGCTTGGCTGTGGGGTGGAATTCCAGTTGTTTTAATATATTATAATTCATACTTTTTGTCATTTTTTGTCGACGAACTGAATCAAGGGGCCCACGCGGCCTGCCAGTTTGACATACCTGCCATGCAGGAATAACATTTAACGTATAAGTACTTTTTTTACAATTATTTTTATGTATTGGAATTTAAGAAATAAGCAGAATTTCGGCGATAATATTATTCCATTTTTCAGAGAGGGGGAAAAGCGGCCGAGCGATGAAGTCGCTGAACACTGGTAGTTCGGTGCGAGGTTCGAATCCCACGAACGGGCTGGCTGCATAGGCGTTTTCGTGGTTTTCCCCATGTGTAACATGTATACGAGCCAGTCTCCCTTAGAAATTCCTTCCACGAAGGCATCCCTTCCCTTAGGCAGCTAGTGTCCTTTGCCGTAGATGTGGGAAAGAAAATTAGACAAGCTTAAGCTTCAGTACTTTTTGAAAAAATCGCGTTTTACAACTTATTAATTAATTAATAGCTCAAATAAACAATTTAGTTATATTAAATTAGGAAATTAAAAAATGAAATGACAATATTGCTACTTAATGAACTCGTGAGCTAGCTTTTATTTGGAATTTTGCAAGGTATACGCAGTGCTAAAAAGCAAAACAATTATCTTTCTAGACTCTTTTTTTATTCTTCAGTTTCTTAGATAGTTAAATAATCTTAATTATTTCTTTGCTTCTCTTTTTATTATGCAAAGCGAAAAAGTGTTCCTTGTGTGATCAGCTGTGTGTTTACTCTGAAGGCGATAAAAAGGAAAGGAGCAAACAACAGCAGCCCTGCTATGATAAAGATCCGCCAAATAACGGGAACCGATGGTGTTACCGATAGCTAAGAATAACAAAATACACTTTTCGATTCAAAGCCTTTATCAACATCTTTTCACTTCGCTTCCAGCTTGTGTTCGCCAAATTCTGATTATCTTGTTCCAGAGGCGCCCCTAAAGGTTGTTTTCTCCCCATAGAGGGCGTAACATGGAGTCTGGAATATTCCGATATATTGGAAAATGCATCCAGAACATTCGTCTTATGCCTCCTCTTGGGATAAGAATGACTTGAGTTTTTTAGATAGATATATGTATACATGTGCGTGTGTGTATGTTTGGGTGTACACTCACAAATACAGACTTACATACACACACTCACACATTGCCTTCATGTTTATTTATTTATTTGTGTTTATACTGTTGGTGACCCAACTGTTCATAAAAACATTGGTTACTTTCTTACCCCACTTCCAAATATGGCTACTCATTATTCATTTGCGGTGTAAATCTGCAGAAAACGTTGTAGCGATGAGTCGCTGGCTGTTAAGGATAGGATCAAAAAGCGGAAGATTTTTATAGGATAAGTTAAACTATGTAGAGTGGAAAATGTATTTAACGAATATTTTAAAAACTCTGAAGATCCTATAAAGCGAAACATTGAACGCTTTCTGCGCGCATAATAACGGAAATAATGTCAGAAAATAATATTTTTGCTGAATTGAATGAGTGCAAAATAAAGCACTGAGTTTTCTTTTCTTCTTTTTTTTTTTTTTTTAGTAAATAAAACTTTCATGAAATTGATATGTTAATCTTAAAGTGGCCATCATAAAGTTAGAATTCTCCGTAATTTCGTATACTTTTGTTTCTTGTAGTATTCAGACTTTTGGAATTAATATTTCTGATTATTTTTCAGAAAAACTAATGGTTTATAACATACTTAGAATAATTTATTGCTTCGTTTTTTGACGTAATTAGCGTGTGAGCATGTCAATAAATATTTTTTTAAGTGGAAATACAAATAATGAGAGACTTTTTTTTTTCTTTCAGATTCTGATGCAGAGGTGACTACCAGCTTACATTAAACAAATGGGGTTACTCTGGCGCGCCCCCTTTGTAAGACTGTCCTCCTCCACCTACCCTTTAATGTCTCTGGTGCTTATGATCACTGTGCTGTGCACAAGTTTCGGTTTCGTGAAGTGCGATCAAACTCTGGACTTTACGCAACCACAATATAATGCAACAGTCCCAGAAAATTCTGTAGGAAAGACGTATGTCACTTCAACTGAAAAGATGGGCATTTTTATATCTGATCCATCATTACTTGTGCGGTATAAGATAGTTTCAGGAGATCCTGCAAAAATGTTTAAAGCTGAATCTCGCACAGTTGGAGACTTTTGCTTCCTGTCTTTACGAACAAGGACTGAAGAACAAGCGGTACTTAACAGAGAATATCAAGATTATTATGCTCTTGGCGTTCGTGCCATGGTCACGTCTTTATATAGGCGATCGGTCAAATTAAAAGCTCACACCATAGTCCACGTTCATATCTTGGATACTAATGACCTTAACCCCTTTTTTGATAACTTGGACTATCGTACCACCGTCCCTGAAGATTATCCCCTTCACAAGAATCTCCTGAGAGTCACAGCAACAGATCCTGATGTGGGAGTGAATGGCGATATATACTACAGTCTGCGTGAGCCGTCGCTCCAATTTGCCGTCCATCCAACCCGAGGCTTTCTAACCCTAACCAGGCCCCTTGACTATCAAAAACAAACCTTGCATAAATTAACCGTTGTCGCTGAAGACCGTGGACCGAAATTTCGAGTAGCTGGAAGCATGGCTTTTCTCAGCACAGCCACTGTCCAAATAAAAGTTTCTCCTGTCAATCTTCATGCTCCAGAAATTCAAGTGCGCCAGTTGCCAACTATTCTAGAGCACAGTGACCCTGATATTTATGCTATAGTTCGTGTCATTGATGGTGACAAAGGAATTCATGGAGAGATCGATGGACTGGGAATCGTAAAAGGTGACACAGAAGGTTATTTTCGAATATCTCCCGGAAAGAAACTAAATGAATTCGAGATAGGAGTAGCTGATCCAAACCGCGAACTGGCTGCTGGAAACTACGCTCTAGTGCTGCAAGCAACAGATCGGGGCACACCTCCAAAGTCCACCACAAAAACGGTATGTTGTTATTTATACCATTTTTATGTAATCGTGACTTGCACAAATTATTTTTTACGAATCAAAAATTATGTTAATATAAGATTGTACAGTTTTAATGCTCTATTGTAAATTATAAACAAATTTTATTAGTTTTTATTTACTGAAATGATATGCATATTCCTGGACGGAAATGAACGTAGAGATAATTTTTCGCTATTAAGCTTCTTAAATCCTTTTAGTTAAGATAAAATTATAACATTAAATTTAATTGTTTACCTAATTTCTATGTAAATCTTACTTAAGTTTCAGTTAAAATTTAGTATTTTGAGCTATACATCTTATTTTTACAAGACGCCTTGCTCAGTGATAAGTTTAATTGCTTCGCCTTGAGAAATTAACAGTAATTTTTTTTTGCTTCCACGCTTTCTGCACTGATTTGTGTCTTTATAAAAGTAACCTAAAAGGTAATTCTTTTACTTTCGAAAATAAGCTCCGCAGTTTGATATAATGTTAAATTGTTTTAGGTCCACTTGAAAATTTCCGAAGCTTCTCATCCGGTTCCCAAATTCACTCAATCTGATTACGATGTGGAGATTGAGGAAGTGTCACCTGTAGGCTATCCTTTGGTTAGATTAGTCGCAACAGTGGATAAGGGCAAGAATCCACTCCTGTACACAATAGAGATTGGTAATGACGAAGGAATGTTTGCAGTAGACCAGCGGACAGGTGTGCTTCGAACTGCGAGAGCCCTCGATCGAGAACGAAGAGCATATTATTCCTTAACTGTCAGCGCTGTTGACAGTGGCCGGAGGGGCAGCTCGCATCTACGTAAGGGCACTGCCATAGTAAACATTAGAGTCCTTGACAATAACGACAACGACCCAGTATTCAATTCAACCTCTGTTGTGGTGATGTTTGATGAAAATCGACCCCAAGGCAGCGTTGTTTGCACAGTTTATGCCACTGACACCGACGCGGGAGACAATGGATATGTTACATACAGTCTGGTGAACTTGGATTCTGTGCCTTTCAACATTGATCACTTCACTGGCGAGGTATGTTATTATTATAATGTATGATAATTGTTTTTGTTAGCCTTTTGTAATAAAAATATTGCATATTTAATGGGCTTATCGCATGTCATTACCAAGTAATTATATACGATTAGTTTTCACATATATAAAATTCGTCAGTATTATTCGTTAATTCATGAGCACATTTATGGAAATACCGAAGGAAATTTTTGATGACATTCTAGTGATCTCTCTGAGTAATCTGAAGGTGCTGGCATTTTATACAATGTCAGCGAATTAAATTTTTATATGTTTCTATTATCACGCATTAAAATAAAACTCCACTTTTGTATACAAAAAAAAATTTTGACCTTGGTAACTTAACTAGATGTCTTTTATAGTTTGGGAATAATGATTTATGATTTTTAAGTAGTAGAAACATTAGGAGTAGATTATTCTGAAAGCAAAAATCATGAGAAATGAGTAATGCCCTCGCTATGAATCGAACTACGGACCTCTCGAATACGCGTCAAGTGTGCTGACCAATACACCACGAAGGCATGCTAAGAAGGCGGGAGAAATACCTTGTAAAGTAACTACCAAAACTTACGCGTATTTACATAAGGAACTACATAAGGGAAAAGTGGGCGTTATTATTTAAATCTAAGTTTAAAATAACGTTGTGGAAGTCATTTCTCTCTCGATCGAAATGGGAATACTGATCTAGTATTCATTCACATTTGCGCGTTGCTGATTCAGTGGTTTCTGATGGCGAAGAACAGAGCTATTAAAACACAGATCACTCCATTAAGTCCTTCCATTAAGTAGTTAAATTTCTTTCTCTGCCGAAAAAAAAGGTACATAAAATGATACTGGGCTTTAAAAGTATTAAAAAAATTAAAAATGTTTAAGCCATTTAGCAGACTGCGTTGCTAATCTTTTAAGGAGACAGCAGTTTTGCACGGCTGCTGGGCGTGGCTATTAAGTGCTATTCATGATAGTTTAATCTTTGTAATTTATAAGAGTTGTAGGACTGTAATTTGCTGATAAATTCTTTACATTCAACTTTAAAACTTCGAAATATGTACATTATTTGTGTCATATTCAATGCAAGAAATGGAAAAGTTTGAGAAAGAATTAAATTCGTTTCAGCTGCGTTTGCATCCGTTGAATTTGCTGTAGCTTGTTTTCGATATGAAATACCGAATTATTTTAGTGTTCTCTGAAATTTTATAATATTGCGACTAAATTAAATATTCTTCAAATTTTATTTTCAACATGCGCCATTGCACTCTAGATCAAGGATCCTTCGAGTACCTAGTGAAAGCTTAGCATCATCCCGTAAATCTTAGCATATTAGCTGGTATTCAAATTCTTATACTTTTCTACCATTTCTACCATACAAATTGTTGACCCAAATTTAGAGCAACCACGGAATATATGCAATATTTTTGGTTCACTTTGTCAGGACTTGTGTTTCTCTTGATTTGCTTTGGAAACATGAATGGTCCTGAATAGGAACAGGGAGCTTACTCAAGCTATGTTCAAGAAGGTGTGGAGTAGACAACACAAGCAGGAAGGGTATACGAAACCTTTTATTTTCAATACTTTACAGCAATTTCCGAACTTCGGAATACACAGACCAACCACTTGTGGTCTGAACGTAAGAATATAAAAACTACTAACTAAAACTCTAACTAAAAGCTAACTTTGAATTAGTATACAAATGCCTAGCACCAAGACTGACCTTTATTTAAAAAAAGGTACGTATGTAGTACGCCGAGCTGCTAAAACTACGATACGTCTACAAATATCAAGAGGGCTAAACCTCTGGCCTTAAAGGCAACCAGCAACAGAATGAAAACTCGTAAAACTACAGTGGCAAGCGGCTTGCTTCCTATAACTCCTTCTCTTTCTATCTCTTGGAAAAAAGCCACAGCTTAAGTACTAGGAGTTATCAAGACAATTTGCATAAACAAGTTAAAGCATTTAATTCTGGCCGGAAGTAGAAAATAAGAAGTGATAGTACAGTTTTAAAAATAAAACAAACGTTAGTAAAACTTAGGATCCTTACAACTTTACTTATTCTTTGACACTGTTGTCACTGTATTCAATGTTTCTGCTTTCTAGATATACACTTGCTTAGAGAAAAATTAATGACAAGTTATTAAAATTGCTTTATTGTAATTTTCAGAAGCAGCATCATTTGATTACTTTTGTACAGCTAGTTTTCTATAACTTCTGAATGTTTATTTTCCAGATATCGACAACTGAAGTTCTCGACTATGAAACAATGCGTCGAGAGTACGTTTTACAAGTTCGAGCATCAGATTGGGGCTCACCCTACAGACGACAGGCAGAGATGATAGTTCGAGTCCAGCTCCGTGATATTAATGATCACCGACCTCTGTTTGAAAGGGTGGATTGCGTCGGTCAGGTACTTGACAGTGTGCCGTTAGAAACTCCCATTATAACGTTATCAGCTTTAGATTTCGACGCAGGAAACACAGTACGCTACCTTATGGTTCCTGCAGATGATGATCCGTGCTTTGGACTAAATGAGGACAAAGGTTAGCAATTTAATTTTTCACTGTCAATCAACTACTTTTTGATTAGGGAAAACTAATTTAAGTTTCTTATGGATCACTGGGCGTTTGAGTAATTTATCATCTACTTATATAGCTGCATAATTTAATGTTAGTTTCCCGTTTAATGGATATTTTTCTTATATTTATGGAATAGTGGCGTCTGAAAATGTATCTCAAATCAATTATGCATTTTAAATTTCAATAAAATAAGGTGCAAAGAGTCGCAATGACCCAGCTCTGTTGCGGTAAGCATTTTCTTTCGATTGATTTTACTTCATTTGATTCCAAACTGATGTTTGCAGGTTGCAGTTATTTGCTAAATATATCTTTCTGTCAAATGCATTATAAATTATTAACATTACATTATAAATTATTAAATTTGCAAATAAAAACTAAACATTCTATGAAAATATTTATATTAGATATATAAATATTTGAATCATTTTTTGAAATTTAGGAAGAAATTAAATTATCTGGATACCTCATAAATGGGCTAGGAGAAAAATAATCGAAACTTTGGTGCTATTTTAACCTTTTTTAAACACCTCTTTTTTTTTCCAAATATAGTTCCTCTTTAAGCAGATTTTGGGGCACTGCAGGCATTGGCCCGCAAGGGCTGTTATGCCACTGAGTTTAGTTTAGTTCTTCTTTTGCATTTAAACAAACATAGTACACTAAACTTTACATTATTGAAAATAAATATGATTTTCATTGATTCAAAAATAAATCCCCATTTGTGGATCACGGCATGCTACCTGTAAATAATTATATGCTAGTAATTATCTTACGAATGCCATGCGGCAATACATTTTACATGTAAACTAACATCACACTTTACACATTGTTTCCGATTCTTTTTTTTTTTTTTTACAAAACGCACATTTTATCTGTTTTTCATCTAATGTTTTTTTTTCTAAATAATGTCATTGAGAATTTTTTCTCGCGTCTTCTGGTATACGTTTCTGTAAACTCACCCTATAGGATGGTTTTCCACTATTTTTCGGGTCAGATATAGAATATAAATTACAATAGATACTTACAACTATTTTTCTGAAATTTAATAAAGGCATTTTTTCATTAGCAATGCAGTATATTGCTTGAACATTAATTGGGCTATATCCACTGCATTAGGGAAAACAGGAAAGTATCATTTCTTGTCTCTAATTTTTATTCTTTGCTTTTGTATATTCCAATTAAGCATGTCAAACCCACCCGTGTTGCTATTGCAATTCGTAGATAATAGTTCAGATTTAAATATTATTTTCTAAAAGAAAAAGTTACAAATTCACTTACATCATAGGAAAAGCTAAATATTTATACAAGCCTGAAAGCATGCAACAGCTTTATGATCATTTAGAACGTTAATTATGCTTGAAAAACATGCTAAGTATTTAAAAAGCAATCTCAGTGTCAAAAAAAAAATATTAAAAAATTCTTACTTGTGAAATGAGGCACTACCACCAGCTTATTCGTGACAATTGTACGCGCTGCAATAGCCAACTATTGCTAATTTTTGGAAGTCGTCCCTACTCCTCCGGATGTGATGAAGGTGACAGCCGGGAACGCGCCAGACAAGGGAGAAAACGCAATTGGGTTAGTCTATTTCTTATAAGGTCCATGGTAGTCTCGCATTTACACTACGCATACATTCTATTTTCTCTTAAAAATAACAATAATAAATTGCTTATTATTGTAAATTAATTGCAAAAGAATTCTTTTCTGTATTTTTCAGAATTTACGGTTATAATTTTTAATTCATGCATTCAATATTCGTGCTGCGGTATTATCACTCGTTTTTTCTCAATTCTAGATCATCTTTGCATATGCCCTAAGGGTCGAGTGTGCTTCCAATTAATTCGCGAAGGCGTGCGCAACGGAGGGAGAAAATACCTTATAAGGTATAGTGGTAAAGTCGAGGAACTAATAAAAACAGTTTTTTAATTTAATGAATGAAATAATAATTTCCATGACACAAAAAATAAATAAATAAATAAATAAAATAAAGCCATCGTCGTGCTGCAGAATGATACATGGATAACAGATTGATACATGGATAACATATTGACTTAGCTAGCCATTTAAATATTCTCAATAAAGAGCTGCAGGGAAAGAAGAAACTTTCAAAATTTCGGTTAACTTCCTAATTTTTACGTACTATTTCCAATGTAACTATGGCAATCATCATAAGTTAAAAAATTAACTTTAAAAGTCCCTGCCGGGTTCTACGTCTCATTGGAGCGATGATTTCATAGAGGCTTAAATTGGTTCCTATTTCATTTATGAGGAAAACTATAAAAAGTTTAGCTCGCCAGTAGTCGACGCTGGGACAAGGCTTTAGCCACTCTGTTATTAGTGGACCTGCAGTTTTCTGATTTTCTTTAATTGTTTCAAATGTCTGGATTCTTAAAACTTAATGCATTCGTCCGGAATGGCCAATAACCATTGCTCCTTCAGTCGTCCGGAATGGCCAATAAACATTGCTCCTTCAGTCGAGAGCGTTTCCAAGCTGTATTACTAGGGAAAGCTGATTTTATACTCGTGAAAATGGAAAAGTTCCGGAAGAATGGAAACGAATTTTAGTGCAAAACACCACGAGGGACGAATTCAAGGGTCTGCCATTTTTCTTATCCTACCACTAAATCTCTTGAAAGAATTATCCGCTAGCCAGTATTTTATGCGCTCCCAATGCCGGACAGACAGTATACTTTTACAAACGTCTAAATCTCGTTTGTAATTCGAACCCTGGCTCATAGATACGGCAGTCAGTAGCGCTAACCGCTATACTGATTAGGATATCTGAGTTTTTTTAGTTAACACATATTATGAAATACAATGAATTAACGTATTTTATAATCTTAGAATTTCTCCTTACATTTAACATATGATACAGTTTTCTCTGTTTCATTACTTTAGAAATTCTGCTTAAAGGGTGTCATTTAACGGCTTTTCGCTATTATTATACTTTATGGGAATTCTTACTATTCTGAAAATTGGCTTGCATTTTAAACCTAGTTAGAAATCAGTCTTACTTGTTAACTGAATATTATTACTGTATTGTAGAGATTCGTAGCATTTTACTTTGACTTGATTATTAATCATAATATTCTACAGTTTGAAAATCGGACTCTCTTTCTAACTGGAAGGAAAATGCTGCTTGTTAACCTGATTTTGTCGCATATCTCATTAATAATTTATTTCCACACTGAAATAATAGTGAATTTTAGTTTACCTTTCAAGGAAACGAAATTTTCTAAAATTAATTCCAGATTAGAAGTCGGGCCAAAAATTATTATCCTGGATCACTTTCTTAATTTGTCTAACACTAGCTCTTAATGACTGTATGGATGTATAATATACAGTATAATGATATATAATACGAACAATAATAATAATGATATATGATAAAAACAATTCTAATAATACTAAAAATATAATACTAAAAATAAATACAATAGTATATAATAATAATAATAATAAATGCTATGCTATATAATACGAACTGGAAAAATTTCTTTCTAGTTGCCCCTCTTTGTCGACAAAATAAGAAATATTTTGTTATATGTGTGTCAGCTATGTATACAGCCTTGAATAAGCTACTAATTCCGTGTATGAACAAATATTCGATTAAAAATGTCCAGAGAATGAGTTTTAAAACTGCAAAATGAGTATCGAATATGTATGTGTTGAAGCCTACGTTTTGCTCTTCAGATTTTGTTAATAAATCTTAGACATGCTGATGTTTCATTATACAATTTTAGGAGAAAGAGAAAAAATGCTCATAACCTCATTTTGCGAGCATTTTCCCGCTTTCTGATTATTGAGTTGGGTCTTTAGAGTTAGATGACTCCATTAGATGACTCCTGCGTCAAGGATGTTTGTGTATTGGTGTAGATAGTGTATTTCGTCTTTCTGTGTAGTAATTATTAATAATATTTCATTTTAACGTAGTAATTAGTAAGACTTCTGATACGTGACGAACTGCCCTATTGGTGTATATGTTATTAATAGCCTTTTATTTATTTATTTAAGGTATCCTCAAGGTAACGTGTGATTTATCAAAGCAAAAGAAAAAAGATTGGCTACTGAACGTGTCTGCAACGGATAGCCAGCATTTTGCTGACGTCATGACGGTTAATTTAAAGGTAGTGTCCCAAACTTCTGGTCGCAATAAAGGAGGAGTTGCTATTGATTGCAGGAAGTTGGACGTTACCGACCGCTACATGGATCTCCTAAGCTTGGGAAACAGTCAGAATAAGGCTACGAACAGAAAGGAGGCGGCTGCTCCTGAAAGATTCGGGGATAACAGACACTCACCAGAATTCTTGTCAACTATACCTTCTGAAGTGTGGATTAACGAATCCGCAACTATTGGGTCTGAGGTAAATAATTCAATCGACATATTTATTACATTTTTACTATCCCCTTCTAAGGGAATATTTTTTTACATTTAAAACTCGAATGTTGAGCTTTGTAACACACCTCTGACATAAAGAACTCTGACATAAATAACAAGCAATGAGTTATTGTGAATTATAGAGTAGTTTTTGAGGGAGCGCTTTTTAAACTCCAACTACCGTTTTTGTAAAGCAATCCTTAAATCGTCAGCTTGGGTGTAATTTTGAGGAAACTGTGTGAAATATCAAATACAATACATAATAGCCTTGAATTACCGTATGACGAAGTTACTTATTCGATTAAGAGGTAGATCAGTTTGATTGCCATTTGCGATTTATGGTTCTAAGTTCATTAAGATACATCATATCTATATGAAATAATTCTGCTGTAGTGATATTTTAATATTTGCGGAAGAGGAACTGAATATTATGCAAATCATCTACCTAGGACTGAATAGAGAAAAATCACTAAAATTACTACACTATGATCCAGATGTGTACTGAGATATACCGAGATCCAGATGTGCTTTGGTGTTTCATATTTCGGCATAGTTTTCTTTCTGTGTAATTATAATGCTTAAAAGTTGTAGTTACGATAATTTGCACTTTCGATTTTTAGGCCGAAAGCCAGTGCTACAATGAAATTGAATGTTGAATAGCAATATAAGCTATTGTAGTTGTTTTGTATTTCCAGAAGTGCTTCTTCTTCTTATTTTACTCTTCTTGTTATTTGTACCAACGTCTTCCCTTAGTTTATAATCTTCAGTTATTGCAAAAGTACTATAACTGTTCTAAAATTTGTGAAAATTGCTTTCAAATACTAAGCCGTAACTAAATGGTTCCGAATATAATTAAATTTGTGTCTATATATTTTATTATTATTATTACTAAAAGCTTTCATCCTGCATGTTTAGATTATTTATGTTTAATTAATTAATTTTATAACTCCAAAGCTGTTCGGTCATTAGAGTGCGCACTCATTCGTTGGACCGTTTTTCTGTTTATTTGGTTGAATTTTTATTTTTGCTTTGTTTTTATTTATGAAGCGCATTGTAGGTAAAGTTTATAAATTATTGATTACCGTTTCCTTCTACAATAAAGAGGTACTTTAATTACCTGCATTCATTGTTGACTCTTGAAAATTGCCCGCTTGTTCATTTTTCCCCTCCGTTACGAGTTCAGCATATGCAGTTAGATATCTGGAGAAATAATTTTTTATGTTACGGCATTTATTTACTTAATGGCTTTTGAATAAAAAAATATAATAAATAGATTATTTAAATACATCCGTTAGAGTGTATCATATAGTTTGATATTTGTATAAATAAAACAATGAAGCGATGACAGAGTCGTAGCTAGGGTTTTCAGCGCCCAGGGACAACTGAAGATTTCGCGCCCCCTACAGCTTGCCAAGGATGGAAAACATTTAATTCTAAGATGTCGTAACATAATTTTGGCGCCCCTTGGATTCTGCGCCCGGGGACAGATGCCCCCCTTTCCCCCCTCTAGCTACGCCCCTGAGCGATGACAGCGATAAAAATTAAAGTTGTGGTTGACTGATCGGAAAGGCATACATCTGCATTAAAGAAATATTGAGATTTAGTCGAGATAACGTTAAGCTTACCGTTTCTGGTTTGATGTATTTCGTTTTTACCATATGCTTTAAAATAGTGTACTGTACTCAAACTCTTATTATGAAACATTACATAATAAGAGTGTACGCTAGCATATTTATTATTAGTTAAGATGTTTACTCTTTTTAATTAATCCTCGAGGAAATATTATTGATTAATATCAGCATATTTGAATATGGCATGGCATACAATGTGCTATCTGCCTAAGGGAACGGTACGTCTACATGGAGAACTTTCTAGTATCAATTGGCATGTTACAGAGAAAAACCAAAAGGAAAAAAAGGGGGACCAAAGGACCATGCAGCTAGCCCGTTCACCTAGGCTCAAACTCAGAACGAACCACCAGCATTCAGCACTTTTAACCATTCGGGCACTGGTGGCACTACTCAGTATCAAACTGTTGTATTAAAATAACGTAACCAAATTTATTCCACTGAGCAAAATAAAAAACTGATTATATTCATATTATAGTTTAATACATAACCTAGAACTTTACTTGTGTTTTAATTCCGTTTCAAACATTGGCTTTTGAAAGACATTATGAAGAACGAATAAGAGGTGAAAATAAGTTTCAAGCTAACAAAGCCCAAGCTGAAAAATCTCCGTTACATCCATTACTTATAATGTAAATAAAACTTTCAAAATATAAATTTCTCCATGCGTTGATGGAATGGACGTGAGCTGCTGTCATCAAAAATTAATATGTTTTCCGCCGTGTTAAATTACCGGTATGAAAACTGTACTATCTGGTACGACTTTTCGCTATAGCAGTGAAATTTAAATTTTGCTGCAGCAGTCTAATAAGATCGAAACTCGTTTTCTGAAATGTCTTTAAAAGTAGTTTACTTTTGACTGTAACAAGCTTCTAAATAAAATGTAATCAAAGTATAAGGTGCATGTCTACAATTTCAGAATGTGCAGCTGTACCTAAATATATTACATATGTACAGATTAAATATGCATTATATGAAATTTTATAGTTTCTTGTTAAATTATCTTCTTAGGTACTCTTCAGCATAATAAGTAAGACATTATAATTCGTGTACTTTTAACAAATAAAAGTAATTAAATTTCTCAGTACTGTTAATTCCAAAGGATAAATGATATATTTTCAGCTGGATGCTCTGCATGCATATCTGAATACCACTGTTGGGCGATGCAACCTTTTTTTCCAGTTTCTGCCTTAATTTAGTATTTCATGTATAAATTAAAATATACCTTTTTATTTTTAATGTATATTACAATCTGAAACATTCAGCCTTTGTATTTGAAAGTATACATGTTTATTACTTTTTATAATTTTATATATTTTTAGCAATTTATGATACTTTGTTACTTTTTCTAAAATAGTTCTGAATTTGTTTTTAGGTCATCGCTGTAAGAGCTAGAGACAGAGATCACAATTACGCAGGAATGTTGGTGTATGTTATAAATTACAATAATGAAGGAGATGATTGCTTCAAAGTTGATCTGCATACTGGTCGTCTCCTTGTTGATTCTGAACTTGACAGAGAGAGAACATCTAAATATATTTTGAACATAACAGTCTTTGACTTAGGCAAGCCTCAACTATCTGCTTCAACGCAACTCATCGTCAATATCAGAGATGTTAATGACAATCCTCCAACATTCGAAAAATCTTCCTACCATTTTGTAATACCTGAGAATGTTGAAAATGGTACTAGTGTGATTAGACTTCGGGCAACTGATATCGATGAAAATGAAAATGCTAGATTAACTTATAATTTAGAAGGACCGGCATGGGATCGTTTTCATGTCGATAAAAATACAGGTCTTCTAGCCATTGTTGGACCACTGGATCGGGAAATCACTGAGAACTATGCGTTGCGTGTTTGGGCGAAAGATTCATCTTTAGAAAAACCTTTGATGTCTTCTACAATTGTGTACATTCGTCTGGAAGACGTCAATGACAATGCACCTATGTTCGGTCACACGCAGTTTTGGGTGAAAGTCCGGGAAGACCTTCCCATCGGAACAGTAGTGATGGTGATGTCGGCAAGAGACCCTGATACAGGAGATGGTGGCCGTGTTGCTTATGAAATGCTGGATGGAGGAACGTTTTCGGTTGATCCGTTAACAGGAGTTGTTCGACTTGCCCGAACACTTGATTTTGAGAATAAACAGTTATACAATGTAACTATTGTTGCTCGAGATCAAGGGGATCCGCCCTTGACATCTGTTGCTTATTTACTAGTTGAGGTGGAAGATGTCAATGAAAACCTTCATCCACCAAAATTCCCTGATGTTGTTGCTTCAGGGTCTGTGCGTGAAAACAAACCTGAAGGTACTTTAGTTATGCATGTAACTGCCGTTGATGCTGATCCTCCAGGCATCGATTCTACAATAGCGTATTCTATCCGAGACGGTGATGGACTCGGAATATTCTCCATTGACGACCAAGGTAAGATACTTATTCATTTTCCCATTTCCTAGTATTCTTTTGCATGTATCAGGCAATATAGATGTACATTTTTAACATAGGTTTTATTCAAATTTTTCTGATATTGTATGTAATCACTAAAATACCTCACTTAAAAGTTTTCTGAATTTTAGTTTAAGCCATTTTTAGCTTATTTTAAGCGAAAGCGGTTAAAATTTATAAAAAAAAAACGGTTCTCCATTAAGCGTTTTTTTAAATTTTAGGGCATATTTTCCAGTTAGCTCTTAATCAGTTACTTAACAGTCTTTATCAGATATTTAAAAATTAAAAAATAATTTTTAAAAAATAATTAAAAAATAATTTTTAAAACACTTGCATAAGATTGGAAAGCATGAATTTTAATTTTATGTTTTAAACTAGGCGTCTCACTGCTAAGAAAATATTGCAAACCCTAAAAATTTAGAGTAGGTATTTAGTTCTTATGTTGTTTTATTGCATACCTCCCGAAAACATGAAGTAACAGTAGTATTTAAGTATCAAAGTTAAATTAAAATACGTTACCAAAGGTTAAACTTTGATATTCCTTTGATTACTTTGATTAATTAAGGAAGTGTACACACTTCCAATATCTGCTGCTAATGGAAAATAAAACGGAGTGCTTTAATGACGTCTTGTTCATCAAATAAATAGCATGTAGGCTTCATGACTCGAAAATGCGCTATTCAGCAAAATTAGAGGAGCAAGTGATTTAATGAATCCGGTACATATGTAGCATAATGTAAAAGTATATTTTTGAAAGAGACAAAAATAACGAATCGAACATAGGAAAAGTTATGGCTTCTTGTAAACAAAATGCATATTCCCAGAAACGCACCAGTGCCATAAAAAGTCATAGCTGCGTATATGTTTTGGAGAAGGAAAAACATGCCCTGACGAACTTTGTACACCATCTAATAAGGAATATGGACACTTTGAAACTGTAAGAGGAATTTAGACCTGTAGGCAATGAATTAATATAGAGTTTGATGAGACTTGGGGAGATTTTTTTCCCGGTCTTTAAGTAGGGTATTTTGCAACTGAAGGTACTTCAAGGAAGGTTGCGATTTAAGAGCAATGCTTCCGTCTGTTTTGTTTTAAGCGGGTTTCGTCGAATTAAGATCCCAGGACCATGCCATCGCTCCATACGTTCTACTGCCTTTGATTCACGAAGCGCGCTGAAGGAGATCGGCCGATGTTTCGCATAAAAAGGGTAAAATAGTCGATAACAGGGTTAAATACTTTATGTCATTCAGAATGGGTTTCTGACTGCTGAACGCTACAAGCGTGAAATTCTTAGATCCTTGGTTCTGCCTTATACTCCTGTACATTGCACTCACCTATGATTATTCTTGTCCGAAAAAGTACTTTTCCCCATAAGAAAGACGTCTTTGACATTCGCTGAAGTATATCGAATGCCACTTTCTGTACAGGTTAGTCGTCAGTATTCTGGCTCTAGACTGAATCTGTACTTTTCGAAGAAGAAATCTTGGCTCCACCTTCATAATCCTCAAAGACGGTGCTCTTCAGTTTTTCGAGCCCGTGATATTAGAAGGTTAATGAGACACACATAACTAACTAGCCTATGTGTATAGAATCGTCTTGTGTGGAGGTGTATGCTAATTGTTTGTGTCGATGTTGTTTCGATTGACGTCAAAAACTTTGTTTGAAGCTGGGTGGTATTTTGACAACCTGTACCGAAGGACTTGTTGTTTTCAAATAATGAGCATCATCTTAGGTTGAAATTTCTAAACGATCTTGACCAAGACGTCTTCGAACGCTGTCTCTTGGAACGAAATCCACAAACATAAAATTACACTTCGGTTCACCGTCAGTGTGGACGTAATCATCCGTTAGTTACGACCGGCTTCCAGCCTTCCTAGCCGGCCACGTAATACGTTTTGGCTAATTGCATTCTTTGGGCAAACTTCTGGGAGATACATTAAAAAAAACTGCTTCTCAAATAAAAAGCAATACAAGAATACCATTCCGAAAGAACCATTTTTTTTTATGTAATTTTCGCATCGATGTCAATTTTGGCATCATTTTTGCTAATCTACATTTTGAATTGTTCTGCACAGCTGTTCTTCTTTTTCTTGCTTTTTCATTATCCGGATAAACGTTTGACAGCTCAGTAAAATTCTACTCAACTGATTTAAATAGAATCGTTTAAGAAGGTTGCTCCTCTAATTTTATTGGCTAGTGTATCTCATGCTTTTATTTCCAAGAGTTCGTGTGTTTTACTGAATGGAAATGAAATTATGAAAGTCAATATTGCATAGATATGTGCAACATGTTAAGAAAATTAAAATAGTACAGAATAATTAATTCACCAAAACTAATCGGAGAAGTTTTTTAAAACTGTGACGCTTTCCGTAACCATTTTCAAACAGAGTGAAATTTTCGTTTAAAAATATTCTTGAAAAGGAAATTCAAGTTTAAATTTTTTTTAATTCATAGTTATTTTCAGCGTCCATATTTCATTAGAAATATATTGCATTTAAAAACAAGTGTAATTTGGATTTTCATGTTTATAAATTGCGTAAGCCATGTATATTTAATAACGTTCTAGCTTGTAAGTTCGAAATTCTCATACATATTTAAATTTATGGTACTGCGAAATGCGATCTTTTTTCCCCTTATCTGAGAACACTGGGCTGATTGCTGATATATCCGAGGTAATTTTCTGCACGATTTTCTTTTAAATGCAATTACAGGGCTTTATCCATACATACCAAACAAAAGTATTTCACCATGTACAGGATTTTAGGTAAGTGAAATTTTGTTCCTTAAGCTATGCTTTATAAATAAATAAACTTGACACAAAATGCAAAATGTAACAATTTGTTTAACTTTCTAAATGAAACGCCCAGAATTGTGTTGGTGGAAAGAAATAAGAATGCATGTTTTCTGGAAAAGGGGGGAATCACATTTTTCGTATTTAGAGTTTTTATCCAGCGATAAATGATGCACGAAACTACGGAATTTGGCCTTGTCAACAACCCGCATCTCCGACGAAATTCTGAATACCATTTCAATTTATGATGCCACATGGATTGCATAACTACCGGTTGTGTTTACAACTCGACGAAGAATGTTTCGGGATTGCTTCATATTTTGAGTTCAACCGTTATTTCCAGTGCATTAATTCTCTTCAGAACGTTACAGCAAGGGGAGCTTTAATATTTGATTGAACACAATTCCGTATTTTGAAATGACATTTCGAAACATTTTTGCATACACAATTTCTAAACGTATTGCCATCAATTTATACTGAAAAATCTCTTTCGCAATTGAGAATATGTATTTTAATAATGCTTATCTGTGAAAGGACTTAATAATTTTTATCTAGAAGGGATCATATTTTTTAAATTTAAATACGCTATGAAATAGTATAACTGGCAGTCTTTTGTTTTTTTAAAAGCGTGCTGTTGCATATCACCAATAATGTCTGATAATTACATTTAGCTTGGGAATGCGCAATAATATCCTGTACGTTGTTAGTATCTCTGCTTTGATAGATAGAAAATTTATTTGCAAAATTGTGTATGTAAAAACGAATTGTTATAAACTGTTGTTTAATTTGGAAAAATTATGTAGTGAAAAACAATTTCCAACTTTTACGGCAGTTATAACGATGAAAATAATCCAAGCTAAAAATTAAATTCCGAAAATAATTATTTGTTCATAACTCCATTCATTTTCCTTAATTTTAAAACAATATCTAAGGGGAAAAGTAGTGGCAAAATTTAAGTAAATTTCTGAAAATCTTAGAATTTACTTTGTGTCTTAAATTTGTTGCATGAATTTAGGTTGCAACAGATTCGTTTTCTTTCACTTTTTGTGAGACATTCTTAATCATACCATGTCAATGCATTTTCCTAGAAATATCTTCATGTTTTTTCTTCTTCGTTGCAGTTTTTACTGAGCTTGAAATAAGAGATCACTATTCAGCTTTTACGAGAATCTTCTCTTAGATATGGCTTCATTAACATCTAGATAGTAGTATAAATTCTTAGGGAAAAATTGATTTTACTTGAACTGAATTCTAAGAGGATAGAAGTCTGGAGGTGTTTTTTCCCCTCTTGCAAATCAAGAAACTGGGGACTTTTTCGTCTGTTTTCAAGTTTACCCCAGCGGTTTTATCATGGCTAGGTAAATTGATTGGCAAAGAAGTAAAACGTCTGAATTGCGTGGCTTTTTGCCCTTTTGGGGAATTTCTAAGTAAACATTAATTGATGGTGTACCTACTACTTTACCCTCGAGGGAAAGTTCTTATTTGGTTTGTAAGAGAGTAATTCTAAAAGTCTATTGTATTCTGTAATCCCTCTGTTCCTTTGGAGGAATAATTGACGTTAGCCATGCCTTTCAGATGCTTCAGGGCCTCTCCATTAATCTTCTAAGGATAAACTGGTACAAAAAATAAGTTTATCCCACCCCATTTATCTTAGTCTCCCCCCTCATTCCGTTAAACTTTAGTGGCTCAGTTGTAACATAAGGGGTGAGAGTTTTTGTGTTGAAATGTTGCTGTCCTTAACGCAGTATTGATTAGGCAGAAGAATAAATTTTTCTAAGCTTGTTTGTATCGCTGGTATTGCGGTTTCTGTTTTCAAGGAAAGTGTGGCTGAATGATTAGCCTGAAATAAAGACGTTAAAGATGTTAGCTTTACAGTCCCCTTATACATCATGACTTTGCGATGGATCCTGTTAATTATATGTATATCTTGACTGTTTAAATTTGAAGAAAAATTCATTTGAATTAATTATCTTTAGCTAGAAATTTATTGAAAAATATTCCCTCACTTAAACTGTTTTTGACTAAATCTAGCATTTTTGTTAGTATTTTTTAGACTTCTAGCTGTGTTCAAAATAATTCTTATGGAGCTGTGTCGTGTACAAAGAATAATTCCGTCTATATATAAAATAAACATCAAATGAAATGAATGATTCAATCTAAATTTGCTGCACTTATTTTATTACAAATACATACATACTGTAACTAAAAATTTATGCAATC